AAAAACCAGTTAATAAACTGTTACTTGAGACTAAAGTGTTATCTTATTTTACTACAAATTGTCCATTTAAAAATATAAGTTACCATCAACATGACAGTGATCCTCTAACAAATCATATTATTTTGTTAATTAAATCTATAATTTCTATTTATTTTGATACTAAAATTCATTACTTGTGTAAAAGTAGTAGCGAAACAATATCTTCAAGACATTGGTATAATAAAATAATAATTTTCAAAGGCCAATAATATATTATTATTCAGTATAAAATATAAATATGTATTTTTATTATTTACAAAATAACATAGTCAGCAAAAAAACCACAGAACAATAACCAAGAGACATAAATGTGAAAGGATTAATCGTAACATTTATACTTATTATTTTAATTTTTTTTATGTTAAATTTTTAATTATTGAGTGGATTATAATATTATTATAGTTACAATAAATATAAATTCAAAATTATACATTATACATTTACATTCAAAATTATACATTATACATTTACATTCAACATTATACATTATACATTTGCACAATAGTAAATTATTAGTAATGTGGTGACACTGCATATCGACCTTTAGCGATTCAAATATACTTTGTATGGCCACCACCTGTATTACCCATATACATTGTGTGTATCTGTGTTTGTATCATTGCCTTATAATCATAAATTTACGTATATCCGAATACGGTATACTCTATGGTTTTTTTACAAAAATACAACTGATAAGTAGATAATAATGACTGCAACTTATTTGCCCCACAAATTAAAGTTAATGATCAATGATTTTGGTTTGAAATTATTTAAAATTTAACCTAAGTGATTTAATAATATAGGTAGTTATTGTTTTAAAAATTTAAACTGTGATGGAAATATTATTATACATGGTGATTCTTTTATCATGAACCAGTTAATATCTCGGTAAGTATTAGGAATTTTAATATAATTTTTTTTTTTTACTTTCTAGGTTTTACTATTTTACACTGTGTTACAATTTTAAAGTTCTCTCTTATTTGATAAAACACTATCAACTTTCGATTTTCAAATGGCAATACCTATTTTCGATAACAAAAATCTATTAAACATTCTGAAAAAAATAATTTTAACGTTTACAGAATTTAATTGGAGTAAGCCGTTTACGACTTATTAATGCTGAAATATTCGTTCAATTTACTGCTACTGAGCAATTAAACAACCCAATAGTAAAAACCAGAAATCAATACGAAATTTTATCTCAATTTAACAATACCCATAATAACGGTCATAATCATAGACATATAATAGAATAGACCGCGAATAGAAAGAGAACTACAAAGCCAAGATATGTGCAAGAGAGAAAGAACCATTAGAGGTTTTCTCATGGATGAGTTAGTAAAACTGTTTTTTTTTTCCAGTTGAATTATATTATGCAACGGGATCACGATTCACGATGTAGATACGTGGGACGTGGATAGGATACTAGGAATTAGGTTAAATAAAATATTATTAAAATAAAATATTGTTCATAGACATAATTTACAAGCTTAAAAAAAAAATATTTATAATTTAAACATTAAAGTATAAAATATACAAATTATTACAAATACTTAATATATTATAATATGTGTGTTGTACAAATGGTATAATAACAAAAAAAAGGTAAAACAATATATTATTTTTATGTTACTTATGATTTATTGATGTTTAAAAAGTATTAATTTTGTGTAGAATGTTCTAATTTTTTGATCTATTGAATTTGTTGATGAATTAATATGATGAAGTCTTAGTGTAATATAAATGTGCATAATTAGTTTTAACAGCTGTAGGAGATGATTATTGAAGGGTTCTTGTTCGAGAAAATGATTTGTTAATGAGATGAAATATTTATTAATATTAATTTTTCTCATACATTCAATTGTAATCCTATTTACAACGTTTGACCCATCAATTTTTTGGTATCCACGAATTACACGTTCAGTTATTTTACAAATTTCAATCACATCTGGACTCGGTACAATTAAACCACCTCTATTTTTACGTCCAATTAGAGCAGATCCTGATTCTTTTGTTCCCAAACATTTTTCACAAACTGTACATAGTAAATACACTGTATTTTGTAAACAACAAATCCTGCTATGTATGTTACAACATCATTAAGGTAATTTCTGTGCTCATAAATGTCTAGTATATCTTCTGTTTCAATTATTTCAGTTCCTGCAGCACATAACAAATCTAGCATTTCAGATTGCTCATCTTTTTTTTGTGATGCGCTTGATATTCTAAGAATGCTTGTGTCATCTAATGCTAAAGCATTGGCAGTCGATGGACATTTAACTTCAGCATTGATTATGATAGACTTATATGCAGCTTCAAACTGTGCTACAGTGGGNATCCATAGACATATAATAGAATAGACCGCGAATAGAAAGAGAACTACAAAGCCAAGATATGTGCAAGAGAGAAAGAACCATTAGAGGTTTTCTCATGGATGAGTTAGTAAAACTGTTTTTTTTTTCCAGTTGAATTATATTATGCAACGGGATCACGATTCACGATGTAGATACGTGGGACGTGGATAGGATACTAGGAATTAGGTTAAATAAAATATTATTAAAATAAAATATTGTTCATAGACATAATTTACAAGCTTAAAAAAAAAATATTTATAATTTAAACATTAAAGTATAAAATATACAAATTATTACAAATACTTAATATATTATAATATGTGTGTTGTACAAATGGTATAATAACAAAAAAAAGGTAAAACAATATATTATTTTTATGTTACTTATGATTTATTGATGTTTAAAAAGTATTAATTTTGTGTAGAATGTTCTAATTTTTTGATCTATTGAATTTGTTGATGAATTAATATGATGAAGTCTTAGTGTAATATAAATGTGCATAATTAGTTTTAACAGCTGTAGGAGATGATTATTGAAGGGTTCTTGTTCGAGAAAATGATTTGTTAATGAGATGAAATATTTATTAATATTAATTTTTCTCATACATTCAATTGTAATCCTATTTACAACGTTTGACCCATCAATTTTTTGGTATCCACGAATTACACGTTCAGTTATTTTACAAATTTCAATCACATCTGGACTCGGTACAATTAAACCACCTTTTTTTTTACGTCCAATTAGAGCAGATCCTGATTCTTTTGTTCCCAAACATTTTTCACAAACTGTACATAGAATTTTCTTCTTTATTTTGTAAACAACAAATCCTGCTATGTATGTTACAACATCATTAAGGTAATTTCTGTGCTCATAAATGTCTAGTATATCTTCTGTTTCAATTATTTCAGTTCCTGCAGCACATAACAAATCTAGCATTTCAGATTGCTCATCTTTTTTTTGTGATGCGCTTGATATTCTAAGAATGCTTGTGTCATCTAATGCTAAAGCATTGGCAGTCGATGGACATTTAACTTCAGCATTGATTATGATAGACTTATATGCAGCTTCAAACTGTGCTACAGTGGGGTTATTATTGAAACCTCCCTTAGCTCTAATGGCTCCAAATAGCAGTTCTATATGGTCTTGATTAAATTTATTGGTAAGTAAAAATTGCAAAAGTTTGGTTTCTATAAGTTCACTGTAAAGATTTTTAATAGTTTTTAAACATGTTATTAATCCTAAAAATCCAGTCTTGCGTTCTGATTGTAACACTGATCTTTTTCCATGTTTAGGTGGTTTCTCAAGACATTGGATGCCATTCAAATAATCTATAGATTCGTCAATAAATATATTCAAGTTCAAAAAATTATCAGACAATGGTTTGTTGAAAGGATTCTTACTCAAAAAATTTCTTGAATTTAATAAATCAAATATATTATTAATTCTTCGACAAAATTCAATGGTAGCTTCAGCATTTTCAAAAAGTTTGTTCTTCAGGTCTTTACAACAATATTCCAAAGCATCAGCAACACTGTTGCTGAAAACCTGTGTTGCTAAACGTACCTTCATTTTTTCTCGATGATAATGTATATGTCTTGTTCTAATTTTTGTAGCAGCATGTAGACCAGTCACATTTTGCATATTGACCAAATGTTTAAAATATATCCATTCAATTGGTTTATTATTTTTGTCAAACAATATTCCCCAATCACCTAAGCAATTTCTTATTAATTTCACCATATGGCATGGGTCAAGAACTATATGTACATTATCTTCTGTTAATGGATGTTTAAAATTTGGCTTTAAATCAGCATAATTTAAATTAGCGCCAAGCAAAGACACCATCGACATATTATTAGCCGCCCCATCAAAGGTTATTGTTTTTATTATAATACCAGTTTCATGTAGTTGATGAAGACAAGATTTTATAATGTTGGATTTTTCTTCTGCAGATATTCCATTGACTAAGTAATATGCAATTGGTACTTTCCAATGGGAATTTAAACCAACTACCATAATGACAAAAGCATCTTTAGCATATGGCAAATTATCCATTGAATCGGTACCACCTCCTTGACCATAATCAACATAGCCTTGATGCCTGGAACCTGTCCATTGAACATGTTGCTTTATGCTCATTTCGTCTATGATCAAACATCCATATAATTGTTTACCAATAATTTTCATTTCATTAACTTTGATGGAAATAGCTTGAAAAGATTCCCTCGTTAATCCAGGTAAGCCATTAATTGTTGTGTACCACTTCCTGATAGTACTAATATCTGGCAGAGCTTTTGAAAATATTTTTCTTATGTATAAATACGCATATGGAGAGTAATAATGTAATGTAAGGGCAAACTTTCTTAACTCTGTAGTAATATTTTTACCACTGCCTAATTTTAGTTGGCGCATAAGCAAGTGCTTTTCTTCATCAGATGCAATATTCTAAGGATTAAAATAAATACTCAATTTATTTATTTTTTAAATGTTCTTTATTATTATTATACTGATTACATATATTTTATATTAATATTATTTGAAAGTATCAAAAAATATAAAACATACATACATATTTATTTGTATCAATTTTGTATTCGATAACTTTATTTCCTGAGTATTCAAATACATATTTTATATACTATTCAAAAGAAGTATCTGTATCTGTACTTGAATATTTTTAAAAAGTATCTTATACAAGACTGTACATTATTCATTTATTCTTAAACTATTAAAACAAATAAAACATAAACTTTTGATGTCTCAGTCTTACACGTATACAACATAGAAAAATTTTGTTCACCAATTTTAATAATGTGCTGTTAGTTTTGTATTCAAGTGAATTAACTTACTATAAAACTTATTGCTTAGAATATTGTCTGTGCTTAAGTGTTAGCTTTTATTCAATATTTACATTTTCAAGCAAGATATGGTTTTGTGAAATATCACAAATTAAAAATGCTCATCTTACTTGAAAATATCTAACAAAAGCCAAAAATTCAACGCTTAAGCACAGACGTGTATAAGACCATAGACCATAGACCTTTAAACTAATGGACAGTGCATTCCACTTCGCCCTGCCCACAATGCACGGGAATCATATAAAAGAAAAAAAGGAGAAAGAACATAAAGAGGTAATGATAGACCTATAAACTAACACTGTGTTTCCCCCATGTTCTCTTTTCTCTTTTATTCTATATTGTACCCCTGACCTCTAGTCCATTAGTTTATAGGTCTATGGAGACAACAAACGCATGGGTGGCATCTCTTAAAAGTAACTTAAACTGTATTTACCTTCAACATATATGAACCATTAGCATTTAACTTGCTTTGCGACTGTAAATCATCAATTAAACTATTAAGGTTATTTATTTGTGATTTAAGACTACGGTTTTTTTGCTGTAACAATTTTATTTTTTCATTTTTGGTTTTAATCATTTGTTGATAAGTTTTCCAAAACATTTTTCGTTTTCTAGGTGTCTCTAGGTCTTCCTCAGAAAAGTCTCCAGCATATCTCAACAGTTTACGTTTCTTTTCTGAAAGATGGACTGAAAATTCTAGTACACAGTTAAAATTAATGAATGTCATTTTATAACTAAAATGTTACCTTTTGTAATATTAATATTTTCATTTGCTTGCAGAGTAGTCACTTCAGTATCATAATATGTATCATTATTCATTGAATCTGTAGAATTGTTTTCATCTTCTATAATAAACATATAAACAATATACATATATAGAAAAGTTTTAATTTGTGTTATATTTATATACTAACCATCTACTACTATTTCTTCTTCTAACATAAGATTTTCAAGATTGTCAAATACTGTAGCAATAGGTTTATCTGATAAATTTTTTGCAGAATTGTTTTCATCTTCTATAATAAACATATAAAAAATAGATATGGAAAAGTTTTAATTTAAGAAATGTATACTAACCAGTTACTACTATTTCTTCTTCTAACATAAGATTTTCAAGATTGTCATTTACTGTAAGAATAGGTTTATCTGATAAACTTTCTGTAAAAAAAAAATTGTAATAAATACCTAGGTAGTTGTCTATATTTAATTATTATTCTTTTTTTATAAATACCTGTGGACATTGGTATGTGAACTTCAAATTCTGTTGGAAATTAAAAAAAAAAAGCATTTCATTAAATTAAACCTAATAAAAATGTATTATTTACATTTTTTTTAATACCTGAGAGTAATGATTTTCTTGAACAGAAGAACCTAGATGGTACAGCATCTGGCTTCAATATATCATTTCCAAATGATTATTGATAGTAATCATCATTTGTAAAATGTTTGCTACAGAGCCTAGTATACTGTGTTATGATAATAGGAACATCTTTTTTTATTTGAGCAACCCATTTTTCCCTGAGATTTACATTTTTAGGAAATCTGTAAAAATTTAAAAAAATATTTGTAAAATGCATGAAATGATCCAAAGTATATAATATACAAGGTGATTCTTTTATCATGAACCACTCATTATTTTGAAAATATTTGTTTACAGTTTCAAGTTTTTGAAAAAATGTTTTTATAAAAAAATTAATTTTTAAATATTTTTTATCCTTATTATTTTTTAAGTTTTTTACGGGTTTAAATAAAAAAATTATGTTTTTTACGTTTTTTAGAAAAAAAATTAAGTTTTTGATAAAAGAATCATCCTGTGTTATGAATAAAAATTTTTTACCCGTGAAGTTTGACATTATCTGTCTTAGCAGAACCACAACTATAACATTTTTGAACCATTATATCAAAGTGACCAAATTAAAAAGGCTTAATAGGCAATTAAAAAACNATTTTACAGGAGTCTTAGAAATATTTTCATCTATATCATTTATTGATTCATTTCTAGCATCCGATGTCGAAGTAGATGTTTCACAGGTTCCACTATTACTATTAAAATATTTGTTCATTATTTTTGCATTTTTTTCTAATTGTAATTGAGCTTGAGCTCTACGCTTTCGATACTGGGCTCCTGAAGGTTTATCTTTTTTTGGCGGCATGGTATCAATTATTTTACCTACAATTATTTAATTATTTATATTTGAATATTTAGGTTAAAAAAAAATAATATTTTATGATAAAATGTAAAAGAAGAGAAGACTTTTATTATAAAATAATATTATAATCTTCTTCTTCTCTATTGGCTTCGGCCTTTAAGACCATGCCGCTATAAACAAATCTTGCCATCTGTTCCTGTCCTCTGCAACTTCTCTCCATCTAATTCCTGGTCCTATCGCTTTTATGTCCTTCTTTACACAGTCTTCCCACCTCAACCTGGGTCTTCCTAAAGGTCTTTTCCCTATAGGCTCTTCCTCTATTACCAGCCTAACAAGAGATCCTTGCTTACGCCAGGCATGACCTCCCCACATGAGTCTTCTTTTTGTTATCTCTTTAATTATATCAGGCCTCTTAAACTGCATTTGAATTTCATAATTATGCAATTTCCTCCATTCGTTTGTTTGGTTATCAAAGACCGGTCCATATATTTTTCTTAAAACCTTTCTTTCGAATACTCCTAGTCTCTGTTCTTCGGCTTTTCTCAGTGCCCATGTCTCAGATCCGTACATGACAATAGGTCGTAATAATGTCATGTACATTCTTATTTTTAAATTTTTAGAGAGGGTCCTAGATTTCAGTACTTTTTCTAACCCATGGTATCCCTTATTAGCTAGTTGTATTCTCGACGACACCTCTGTTTTAAGTTCATTGTCTTGAGTAATAATAGATCCGAGATACTTAAATTGTGAGACTTTCTTAAAAATATGTCCTTCTAATTCGATATGTTGTCCTAGTCTGTAATTTCTGCTATTTCTGCTAACAGTTAAGTATTCTGTCTTATCATCGTTAACGGTTAATCCCACTTTCTCTGCAGCCTTTATAAGTTTTTTTCCCAGCCTTTTTATCGTCTCAATATCATCTCCTAAGAGAGCTATATCGTCCGCGTATGCTAAAAGTCCTATTGTTATTTGTACCAGCGCAATTCCTTCTGAAACGTTCATTTCTCGTACTATTTTTTCCAGTACCAGGTTAAACAACACTGGGGAAAGCGCATCCCCTTGCCGGAGACCTGTCGTTACCCTCACAGGCTGAGAAGTTGTGTTCGCTATCTTAACCTTTATATCCGTCTGGTTGATGCTGGCTCCAATGAGGCTTATAATTTTACTTGGGAATCTAAATTCTTTGAGTATATTTATAAGGCTTTTTCTATGAATGGAATCATAAGCTTTTTTAAAATCTACAAACAATATGTGTACATCCTTATTATACTCCCAACTTTAGTTAGGGCTCATCCCTAAGTTTGGCTCATACGAGGAAAGTCTCAATAAATTAATATTCTGAGTTATTATAATAGGATTTTAAAACGAACTTCTTCAATGTAGCGAGAAAAATTAAAATAATATAATAGCAAGATACATATAAAACATTTTAAAATCATTAAAACAATATTATAAACATTAAAAAGTCATGTAAATAACAAAAATAAAACTCCTCTCAAACAAAAAGTGAATCATTCAAAGATATAACATACCATGTTTTAAACAACTCACGGCAATACGGAGTAAGTATTTATTTCATAATTGTACTTACTCCTATTTTAATTCGCAATTAATCAATTTTTGGAAGCCACCAATTTATTTCAGCGAAATTCGGTGGGTATATTCTTAGAGTACCCAGCAAGCCCGAAGCGGCGGATCCAGGGAAACCGAAAGTTGCCTTCGAGGCAACCGATTCAGAACTGGTGAAGGCCCTTTGGGACGAGCTGGCGAAGAAGAAATGCTCGCCGAAATTCAAGCGGATTAAAAAGGTAGGAAGGGACAAGTTGTATTTAGAACCGGAGAATGAGGAGACGAGGAAACTTCTCCAAAACACTTCGCTGGATTTGCGTCCAGCGGGTGAGAGAAATCCTCGTATAAAAATACACGGGGTCGGGATCGAGGTCGACGATGACGGGGTCGCCGCGTTAATGGAGGAGCAGAATGAAGATTATGTGAATCTGCCGGCGGGGTGGAATCAGAGCGTTTCCCTCATTCCGCGGAGAGCAAGGATGAAGAGAAGGGGACGTGACGTCGAGTTCGAGGTCACTCCGGAGGTCGCTGGCGCGCTTGTGGGCACAGTAGTGTTCGTTGGGCTGTCGCGGTGTCGGGGGTGAGCCCCAGCGTAGATGTGCGAAGATGCCACAGGTGCCAACGCTACGGACACGTTGGTTCGCTCTGCAAGGCGCCGTCGGTAGTCTACGGTAGAGATGTGTCGTTCGCGAACGAACGGATCTTATTGAACGGGTCAAAGTAGTTAACGAGTGATCCAGATCGCCAAACTGAGGTGATTCGGATCACTGATATTTTTTTTTCCGTATTGGTTCACACTGTGTCCCGAATCACCGAATCACCGAATCATATACGAACCGTTTGAACTTTGAATCACAAAAAAACGAGACTGAACGAGACCCAAGTTTTTGATAACACGTTATCATAATAATAATATTTATTAATAAAATAAACATTTGTTTTTATCCTCTTAACTCTTTATATAATAATAATAATAATAATTAATAGTTATTTACTACTATTTAGTATTTAGTATAGTATACAATAAATAATATGAATCACATGTTGTGGTTAAGAAATAATATTTGTGAAATTTTTGATGCGGAGAGTCGACTTCTTCTTTCACTTACAACTTGGCCTGCTTTGGAAAATATCCTTTCGCAAGGTACCGACGTTGCCATAATACACAGTCTCCTTTTAACAAGTGTGTATAATCTTGGGTACACTTTTTTACGCTCAGCCCACCAAACCAAAGGATTTTCTGCACGGCTAATTAATGGTTCATTCAAATACTTATCAACTTCAATAATGCCTGCCACTGATGAGTTGGATCCTCCGATCAAATTTACCACAGTTTCATCAAACTCTTTCCACAGTGCTGAACTTGAATTACTAGTAGAGGTAGTTGTAGCAATTTGTTGATGTATTGGTTCGCCTGATTCTATTATAATGCTTTGTGCTTTAGCCTTTAAAAAATCAACTGCATTTTTACAATGATTTTTATTAGAGAATGCAAATTTCTTGAACCTCGGATCCAATAAAGTTGCTTGAGTAATTAAATGGTTCTCTTCGATATCACCAAATCTTGCAAGCAACTTATCCTTTAAAACCTGACCCATGGAATTAATTTCTTTTGGTAATGTATTACTATTAATAAAATTTGAAACAAACCGACTTAATGTTTTAATAAAAATTAATTCTTTTGATAAAGTTACATATTTTTCAGCACTTATTTCTGTAGTCACTTCATAAAAGATTTTTAAAATGTCCCGGGCATTTTCCAATATTATCCAGTCTTGTGGGTTCAAACAGTTCAACTCTGGATTACCTAAAACTGCAAGAGTAGCAATAATTGGATCTTTAATTGCAATTATTCGATTAACCATGTCATATGTTGAATTCCATCGCGTTGGACAATCCTGTTTAAGTTTCAAAATATGGGAACCAATTCGTTTTTGATAGTCGTTTAATTTAGCCAGGGCGTGCGAACTTTTTTTAAAATACTGTACTATGCTTTTAATTTTTGTAAGAGTAGAATCTATACATTTCAAGCTAGATTGGACCGTTAAGTTCATGGAATGTGCAAAGCAAGAGAGCCATCTCCATTTACACTTTTTGATTGCTGATTTAATATTAGCAGCATTATCAGTAACTATAGCAGTAAGTTTATTTGATAAACTCCATTCCTCAACCATGTTTCTTAAAAAACGAGCCAAATTGTCACTTGTATGTTTTTCATCAAAATCAATACAGCCTAATAATACAGATGAAACATGTGTCTCGTTTTTAGGGTCAATAAAATGTGCTGTTACTGATATAAAACTTTGATTAGTCCTGGAAGTCCACCCATCCGTGGTCAAACACACAGCTTCCACATTTTTTAATGTATCCTTTACGCATTCAACAGTCATCTCAAACATCTGAGGCATCAAACTTTGGGTTACTGTTTTTCTTGATGGAATAACGTAAGTTGGAGATAACATTTTAATTAAGTTACGAAATTCTACATCCTCTACCACACTAAATGGATGATATTCCTTCACAATCATTTTGACTAACTGTTGGTCAATCATTTTTGATTTGCTCATAGGTATCGGCTTTTGGATAAAGTTTGCAATAGAGATTTGTCGTTTGTTATGGGGTCTTAAATATGCTGTTGATGTTGTTGCTATAGTTGCTGCTGAAGAAGATTGTTGTCCAGTAGGATTTTGATTCATAGATGTTGAGGGTTCTGAATCATCAATAATCTCAGAATTTGATTCATTTACCTATAATTTAGAAGTATTATTATCTATTTAAATTAAATTATTCATAATTAAAATGTAAGTGTAATTGTAACTGTTAAAAGGTTGGTTGTGTCATTGATTAGATATACTTATTATATTTTATCAATGGTTGTGTTCAATTTTTGTAGGTAATACATTTTGTAAAAGTTAACATATCGAGTATAGGATTGTAAAAAATGCTTTTTAAAAGTATCTCAAGTTATACTTAAATACTTTTTTTATCCAATGTGTTGGATAAAATACTCAATGAGTTATTACTTAAATACATAAGGAAAATATTTAAAATAGTTTTAAACTTCTAAAAATAAATTTTGTTATTCTTTATATTAATTGTATTATCTTTATTATAATATATATTTTTTAAATTAATCATTACTATTATTAAAATTTATATGCCTAAATGGCTAAGTAGAATTCGTAGGTATATCATGTCTATTAATTATCACATACCATGATCATTCATCAGTCATCACACTATTATAACAATATAACATATTTTGAAACATTGATCTATGAAACAAAGTATAAACTATAATAATAATAATAAATAAATAATATAGCTAATCTGATTTTATAATATAAAAAGATTGTGCAAGATTTGCTATTTTGATTTCTAATGAGACACAAGTATAAAATATAAAAGTATTTGTAAAAGTAAACGTATTCATGACCATTTAAAAGTATTATTTAAATAGTGCTCAACTACAAATAAGAAAAAAAGTATTTGAATACTTATATTAAAATACTTTAAGTTAAAAAAAATACTTTACACATGTGATCATGTATAGATTTCTATTGATTAAACTGTTTTTAAATTAAATTTAATGAATATTTTACCTGGACATTTCTCTGGAGTGGAACTGTTGGATGCTTTGTTTTTAAATATCTCAACAAATTGCCTGTTGATCCTCCACTGAAACTTACTTTTTCTGAACAAACATTACATTTCGCTATGTTATTTTGTACAATAGAGTAATGGTACCATACATTACTACGCTTCCTATTTAATGTTCTATTATCGGTGTCGTACAATATGTATTTAGGTGTACAATTTACACGTTTATTTTAATTAATAATAACTAATTATTTATTAACTTTTTCGGACCACATTTTGAATAAAACCTACTCTATAATGCCCTCTTTAATTAAAAAAAAACTACACGAAGGTTGAATAAGTACACTGGACGAAAAAACTAGGTGAAATTAATAATACTGTGAGTTGAATTAATAATAATGTTATAAATATACTGTCAATAAAGGCAATTATTAATAATACAGATTTTATTTTATTAAACTCGCAGTCAATAAATAAAATTATTAAATTAAAAAAGAAATTATCAATTTAATAAATTTAATAAATTTATTTTATACATTTGGGAAGACATCTTACCAAAACAGTTTATTAAATTTACCATGTATTTATTCATTTGATAGTTAAAAACTATTAAATTAACTATACATTTTTTCTAAAACAAAAATATTTTAATTGAATGAATAAATTTAACTTAATTGAATTATGATTTTTATTTATTAAAATAAAAATATTTTAATTGAATGAATAAATTTAATTTAATTTAATTATAATTTTTATTTATTAAAATAAAAATAATTAATTGTTATTTTAAATACCAAAAGGCATAATATTTCAAACCCAACTTAACCAATAATAATGTATTATTAGTTTTTTTAACCATTTATCACCATTTATTATTACATTTTAATATGGAACTTATTGGTAGTAAATAATATTAAGACCACATAAAAGTAGTAAAATAGGTAACAGCTTAAATATTAAAATAATAATTTATACAACAAGTAGATATTGAAACATTTTATTTACAGTAAAATAATATATTCATCTAAAAATTCTAACATATAATAAGATAAATATAGAAAAATACATTAGTATTATATCAACTATATTTTCATAATTATTAATTATAATACAATTTGAGTACAAAAAAAATATATACATATATAAATGACCAAAATTGTTGTCCAATAACCGCAAACGGCGCAAACTAATACATTTCATTAGTTATGTTATGTTATATTATAATTTTCATAAGCTTTAAGTTGAGCAATCGTTTGGTTAACTTGTATACAAGGCTTATCATACATAGTTTTTATCTTAAAATAGTATATTTGAATGAATAACCAAAAGTTTGAAGATTCTAGCGGATATTCAATATTAAAAACATAATAAATATTGAAACAGATTTCAATAGCTTTTACTATTGTATTTATGATATACTTAATGCCATCAAAGTACACCATAATTTGTTTAGGGTCATTAATTTCGCCAATTATCAACAAGCATGGTTGAATTTTCGTATTTTTCTTAGATATTAACTCCTCCAATTCTGCACTAGTTTTTCCCAATATGACAAAACTATTCTGAGAGTCTCGAATTGAAAATTTCTTCGAAGAAATTTTGCCATTTTCATCTCTGGTTGTCTTTCTAGAACTTGGAATAAACACCGAATGAAGAAGGAAGAATAGAACCGCATTTTTACAATCTAAAATCAAGAAAAATCTTTAATTAAAAATTATAATATAATATTTATAAAAACAAAGAATAAATTATTAAAATCATTAAATAATTTAATAATATACTGTTATATAAATCTTTTGATATATTGAATTATTTACTTTCAGTTAGGTATGAGGTTTTCAACATTTCATCCAATTGTTTTTTTGAACTAGTATCTTTTATTTTTTCTTTCAGCACTGTCAATAAATTTGACTGAGATTTTTCAAAGTTTTCAATAAAACTGCTTTCAGGATACATTTTTTTGAAATCGATATTAACCTAGAAAAAAATATATTTTAACATATAAAATGAATGAAATACAAAAGTACAAGACAATGAAACTAGTTAATATAAATTTCTCACAAGTCTATATCCCATCGGTTCTTTAAAGTGCTTCCAATTAACAAAAATATTGCCATCCTCTTTAATATTTTTTAACCTATAATTGGTTGTTTTCGACCAAATTATTTCAATTTCAGGCCATGTTAGTACTTCATGATGCAATTGTGAAATATATGTACTGACATCTTCAATTTCTGAAAATATTAAACATTGTAAATACATTTCAAACACAGTTTAATAAATATAAAAAGTAAATACCTATCATGTTATCAAATGATGATGATGATCGGTTTGTAGGCAAATTTGATTCAGTTGACTGATACATTTTCTTATCAACTAAACCATGGTTTTGAAGTTGTTTGATGGTGTTAAAATACTTGGAATATATTTTACCTTTAGGAGTTTTATTAATTGAATCTTTAATGAAGTATATGTCCTAAAATAAAATTAACTGTATAATATTGATTCATTGTCAGTTTATACTATTGAAGACTATTACTTTTAATTCAGTGGGGAATTTAGCAACAACTGTGTCTCCTATAACATTTGCTAAAGAAATAGACATTGGTATTTTTGCTTTTATAATATGATTTATGATAGCAGTTACAATTATTGATCTGCATGAATCATTTAAACAATTATGTAAACCATAATAATCAATTACATATGCACACTGATTGTTTTCTTCAAATACAGTTTCAAGACAAAATGATGTTTTTGACTGAGGAATAGATAAAGGTAATGCTGACGTTGATGATTCACATATCCTGGGCAAACTAATTATGTCATTATCTGAAAGCGTTTTTTGCCATGACTTAAGACTAGTCTCAAATTTGATTGTTACACCAAGTGGATAAAGCAATAACAGTTTTTCTACATGATGTACTTGCATGTTCTTTAATGCTGGTATATCAATATAATTATCTAAAAAAAATATTAAATTTAAGTTAAAATACATTTTAAATGGCTAGGTAATAGTAGGTATATAACAGTTTACTTATGCAAGTTTGATGGAGAAACGCCAGATCCCATGACTCTAGGAGAGCTTTAACTTCATTATTTTCAAATATTGGAAATAACATATCCATCGGTTGATTCTGATCTACACCGTTATTCTCAAATACATTTGAACAGTTGTCTGGCAACTGGTATTATTGGCTCATTGTGACTTCAATTTAAATATTTTAAAATATAAGAGTATAAGACTTAAGAATATATTAATAAGACAATAAATGTAATATTAAGTTGGTAATTAATAATTAATTTAAAAATAAATGTATTGATTTAAGATACATGAATTTGTATCTAACAAAATACATATCCATTAGAAATATTCTTTTAATCGAATCATTAATGATCCATCCAAAACTGTATTAATGTTTATTGGTGGACCATTAAAATCCTCTATTGGCATAACTATAGTAAGAATTTCAGATTTATTTTTATCTATCATATACGATTTCAAATGTTCAACATAGCAATCAACTTTAATTTGTTTAAGAATAAATATAATTTTATTTGTTGAGTTTACTAGAATAATTTCTAAAATTTCATAAAAACTAAGTTCATATGTAAATTTTGTGACATAATAACCAATTTTATACATTGTACCTTTAAATTTCAATTGAGAGTAACAGTCATATGATCTGTCCCCTAATTTGTCAGCTAGGATCTCATGGTAACTGCAGTCAATTTTATGTTTATCAGCTTTAATAACATCATCATCTTTTGTATCATTTAATAAAAAATTCGCAAATTTCAATTGGCATTTTTTAGCTAATGATAAGGCTATATTTTTTCTTGATGTTATCGCACGGGCATACATTTTCAGTTCTCTATGTTTAGATTCATATTTAAAACACCAAAAATGCCTAGGTGGTCCAGATTTTTTAATTATTGAAGGATAATGAGTTAAGAAGTGGTGTTTAGGTTTTAATGTGTCTTTAAATAATGTAACATAATCTAAATTATGTTTTTTTATGAGTCTTTTAAGGCAAGCAATTAAATCTTGTGTCAGCTTATGTGACATTAATATGTCTATTATCTCAAGAAAGTTTAAAAAAAATAGCCAAGTATCATCATTATTAGGTATTAAATCACCTATCATTAAAGGTAAAAAATGAATAAAACACATCATTTCCCTCGCCGACATTTTTAAATGAAATTTTAATAAATGGTGTTTTTCAATGTTATGAGAGTTGTTACCTATTTCTATGGCACCATAGTTAAAATATTGTTTCCTATTATTTAGAGTTTCCAAGGAAATTATTTTAACATCAAAAATGTAATACTGAAGAATGTGGCATACATTGTAGTGGCAAACACCTTTGAAAAGATCATGCATAACATCAATGCAGTAATTTGTTGTAACGTGGAATGAATCAATTTGATTCAAAATACACTCTTTGTATATACCTGTTAATTTAAAATCATTTATTTCAACATCTGTTTGATAATTATGAACATTTCTTAGCATTGATTCATCTTCTACAGCCAAATGCTGGGTCAATGATTTGTTTACTTTGCAAAATCGACAGAAAAAAATAGCAGAAAATGACTTATTAAAATCACATATACAGTTTAGTCCCAAGTTGTCTCCAATAACTAAACCCAAAATGAAATGTACATTTTTTTTACCACATGATGTGTTTATAGAAATCCCATCTCTTTCTAAGCTATTTAATTCATCAATTAAATGTTTAAAACACAAATCATTTCCAAAATTTTTTAAATTTTTTGCTTTAATTAAAGCAGCTAAAAATATTTCTTAAATTTTTGAGTTATTTTTACTTAAGGGGAAACTATAATATACAGCAGATATAGATTGAAAATTTGCATTCGAACCTAAGGGATTGTTGATTTCAAAGTCATCAATATATATGAAGTAAGGAAGAACTATTTTATTTTGAAATTACTTTACTTTATCTTTCCATAAAGATCCTTGAATGAAATTAGATAGGAAATTATCATCTGAGATATTTAAATTATCATATAATTGTAATGTTTGAATGAGTATATCATTTTTTTCATAATATTTTTGAAATTTAAATTTTAATGGAAATAAAATTCCCTTTGTATTTATTTCATCATACTCAGTTTCACCAGCATTAGACACAAAATTAATTTCATTATTTATTGTGAATTGCATAATATCCGCAGTTAATTCCTGGTTAGTCAACCACTTGTTTAACTTATATTCACTACTACAATATTTAAAAAGTGAAGAGATTTCAGCTTTGATCATATTTGTGTTTGATATTAATAAAGAATCATTAATCTTATCAAGTAAAGTACCTTTGAGCAATAATATAATTGAATTTAATATTTTATCAGAAATTTCACTTTGAATATTTAAAATATCTTTTCTAGAAAAGTTATTATTATTATGTAATTGAAGACTAAATTTAACAGCTGACACATTAAGAGAATGTAAAGCTTCTTTTAAATTAAAATTATTAGTATTCAACAATGGTGGGGAATTTGTATTATTATTTAACGTATACAAATTTGTATCAATTAATGGTACAGAAGAAGTATTAATATGACACGGTTTTACAATAGTATTTGTATTAAAATCACTATTTACTTCAGTAAGTTTAAAACTATTATTATGTGTCCTAATTATATGCCTTCTAAGACCATTTAAATTTTGAAATGTTTGAGAACAGTTGCTCTCAGAACACTCATATGTGCTTAAAGGATCAAGAAAATGCATAAATTTATAATGAAAAGCCAATGCTGAAAATGTAGCTACATTAATTTTACAAATGAAACAAATCATAATTCTGAATTAAAAGTTACCAACTATATTAACATATTAAGCTTACTTTTATACATTCTATATTACCTTTAAAACTTTATCTTTATAGAACCGTATTCAATGTACAATGTTTTTAAAAGCACAATACATCTGTAAAATTTTAAAATTAATTTTATGCAAAATTACTTCAGTTCCTATATTAAATAAGTTATATTATAGCCTACATGGCTTGAAACTAGTTGCATATTTAATTTTTTTTTTCGGTTTATTATATTTACTGCTAAAACAATTTATATCCAGTTCATAACCTTATGAGTTATGACACACATTATAATTTATTTATTTATCTTATTTTTATTCTTCAAGAAGATAATGGGCCCCATTGAACATGTTCTTGTGGGGGGGGGGCTATAATATATGATATATTGAATATATTATATAAAATATACATTATACACATTGTGTAACATAACGCATTGTTTATCAAAATTGTTTTTCCATTTAAAAAGCATATTTTCTTGTTTCAGGTAGATATTTTAACAATTTATTTTGTAATACCTATCTAAATAAGTACTTTAGTATAAATATGATAATAAAATAATAATTGGGTGGATTTTAAATTTTCACAGCATATTTTAAAAGCACATTTGACTCTTTTAAAGTGCATAACTGCATCTAGGTAGGTATATTTAGGTACTAAATTTGTAGAGCATTAAGTTCCAAGCCGTAGACTAAAATTATTTAAAAAATTGTTACTTACCACGACACGTCAGTCAACAGGACAGGACTAAGAATGTTAGTTCTGTATATTATCTGTATAGCAACAATAGCAACTAATAACAATGACTTATAAATTGGAAACAGACAAACTGTATAGATAGTAGGTAACTGTAAGTACCTAGATAACTTGTAAGTTGGAAACTGTATAAGTAAGTGTACCTGTGTACCTAACTGTAACTTGTAAGTTGTAAGATTATAACTTAAAAGTTGTGACACCAACGAGCAAGAGCAACGAGTAACAACCGACAGACCACATCAAAACGACACAGTGATAATGATTAACAAAATAGGTATGATAATATAACGATATTTTAATCAATAAATAATATTTATAAATTTTTCTATACTATTTATTATTTTACCTACTTACTAAGGGAAAACCCAATGGGTATAACTAATAATAAAACCGGCATTATTGCCATGGGTTATAGGGTCTATTTTTGTTATAAAATTAGAACTCAGTAAAATGATTTTCTTGAATTTATAAAAAATATTATTAATTTAACCAACTTAATTATTTAATTAAATACAAGTTTACTTGAACTAATAAAAACAAATAATTGATTTATTATATTTATACGAATAATAACAAAATACATTTTATTGAATTAACCAAGCAACTTTGATTTAATAAATTTGAAATACTTGGTTCCGTACAATTTTTATTAATTAAATCATTATATCATTGAATGAATAATAATTTAATTGAAATAATAAAAAACCATTGGTTGATAATTAATCAAATATTTTTGTTGATTCATATACTATTTTTTCGTTCAGTGTAGTTTCAACGCCAATCTATAATTAAGATTCCAATTTCACTTTTATATGTTTTTTTCTGGATGCTACTAAGATGGTTATTTAATATTTTAATGTTTTTTCTCCAAATATTACAGATGCGGATATTGTTACTGTAATTGTAGATACTCCAAAAACTCATATTTGATAAAATGTTCACCATGTATAATAAAATAAATAAATGTAAATAATTAAACACAATACATTTTCCCGGTTTTTTTATTTTTAGGCAAATATAATATTTTTAATTTTCAATAATTGTATATCACCCACGAGAAAACATTTTTCACGACACAACACATAGATATTATATAACCTTACAATAATAAAACAAAAACATATTTTATAAACACTAAGTACAAATAATAATAGTAATTATTATTATTATACAAGATAATATTATAGATAGGTACGTAATTGAGCGATATATATTATGACGCGTTCGGGAAAACGAACGTTAAATAATATATAGGTTCACAAATGTTATATAAGATGTAATCATATTGTACTTCAAACAACGAGAAACGAAACCCGAAAACCTCAATCGCAAGAGCGGTTAATCAATAAAATTATTTATATATTATATTTTTTTTTAACAATAATAAAATTATAATATTATAATGTTAACGTTTAGAGCGCATGTTTGTTATCCCCCGGCTTATTAAATATTTGTATGCTGTATAGTAATCTACAACTTTTTGTTCGTGTAAGTGTAAATATCATGTTTGCATCTCATGAGGTGGCCATGGTGAAAACAAACGACACAATGTTTACGACAATAAATTAGGTATATGATATTTTAAAAACCTAATAAAATAATAAGTTCCTCCGATTAATAATTATAATAATATTAACTATGTACACGAGTCAACGAACGAAAAAAACACATAAAATAATAATAACCAATGACAAAAATAATAAAAATAATAATAATATGAGCATTTTTCCACAAAAATAAAAATATTAATCGTAATATTATATTATAATAATAATAAAAACATTAATTTTTAGACATAAAAATGACGTTCTATGTACATGAAGATAGTTTTATTCGTCAAATATTTTGCGTAAAGATACGTCCGGATAATATCGTAATAATAATATAATAATAATAATTTTAATAACAATAATTATTATCATTGTTGAAGTCGAAATATGACGACGCGGGAAAAATGACCTGTGTCGCGTTCTCACAACCATCTTCGCATTTTTATATAATAAATATTGTATGAGATTATGATTGTTTCCGCTACTCAATTTGTCAACCACGCGGACACATATATTATATAGTTGTAGTAGTCAATTGATAGATAGAGAGAGAGTGAGAGAGTTCAGTATTTATATAATATATTATAATTATGATAATATAATAATAATAATAATAATAATATAAAAGTAATAATAATAATAATAATAATAATAATAATAATGACAAAATCATTGGATTACAACTAAAGTCGTATCCATTATATAATATCATTCTTATTTTATGTACATCGAAATAGATCTCGTATTATCTTAGAGTGGCTGTGAGACTACATGGACTGCACCCTATCGATGGGTTTTCAGTTTTCCCGTCTGATGGTGGTCGGCCGTGCAGCGCTGTCTTTATTGTCCCCGGACTACTGAAACTATTCGTCGTCGGCCACATAGCCGGCGTTGGCCTTGGCTGCCGTCCCGTTACCGTTTGACAGCACCGTGGTGCTCATGGGCGCAGGTGGGATCGTTTTCTTGGGCTTCTTCTTTTCGTCCTGGCTGTAGTGCGCTGTTCCTTCGAGAGACATGGTCTCTTGCCGGTGCGAGTTGCGCACCAGACACCCGAGAGCCAACAGCAACAGCACAGCTCCTGAGGCGAACAACGCGTACTGAAGTGCGGCCTTGGCCACTGGTGGTGTCTGCGTGGCCAGCTTGAGCAGTTGGATCACGTGGTCGGGCAGCTCATCGATGCCCTGAATCGGATATTGACAAAGATATATTATTATAATGTTCGACAGGTACGAAAGATATAATTTAATAGTATAATATCCCAGTGATTTATCAAATAAAGACATCATTGATTACCCAACAAAGTTCTTAATAAAAAAAACTTCACAAAATTCTAGTACTTTTGTTTATTAAATTACGATATTATGATTTAAGGGGATCAAAAAGTCCTGCCCCATCCCCATTAACTTAATTTATCGTGTTATAGGGTGAATGTAGGTTCCCACACAAAACAAACCATGTATAAGCCACCCATTACGTAGATAGGCGAAAAGGTCACGAAAAAAATACATATGTTTGTATAATATGTCTACACAAAAAAATACAACAATAATATTATGTAAGTTCTTACACAAATGAAAAAAACTTAAATGTGTTATTTCTACAGTGTTATCTACATTTATTTATTTATTTATTTATTTATTTATTTATTTGAATTCAGTTGGACGCAATGGTGTCATATACCGATAAATTGTTTGTAAAAATAGTTTTGCATGAAAAGAACCTCTCAAGCTACATTTTCAATCAGAAAGCAATATTTTCTGTGTTGTTATATTTTTTTTTTTTAGTATCATTAACAGAAATAGGAAAAAAATATTATTTTAAAATCAGTATTTATTTGGCTTTTTTTAACTTAAATAGTAGATATCGGATCTACCCATAGATCATAATTAAATTATATTAAATTGGCTGAAAAAGTATTCAAAAAATTATATTTAAATAGTAGGTACTTTGAAGTTTGAAGACACTATCAAAGTATTCTTGTACAACTATGCATATATATATCCTAATCTACAACACTTACCTCTTCGAACCACATAATCGGAAACACAATGTCAGGGAATGTAGCCACTTGTTTGATGTCTACTACTTGACTTACGGCCAGATTAATTTGCACACGGGCTCGAGCACGCATAGCCACTCCCATTTCCTGTACAAACGAATATAACAAGATATTATTATGGTTGGTTTTAAAGCATATTGCAATATAAAGGACACTCACGGGTTGCACGTCGATGTAAAACTCGTGGCGGTCAGCATCTGGCTCGTCCATTCCGTGAACGGCTTCCCGGAGGCGTGGATCACCCATGTAAAAGTGAGGGAAAGACAGCAGCACCGGAGAGTCTGCAAACAAATATATAATGTATATCAGTACTTTAGCTCTGTCAACTCGCAAAGGTTCCTTTGCGAATGTTTGAATTGAGTGACTCACCATATTGACAGAGGCTCACATTGAATGTGCCGTGAGGCGCACACTGTGGAGAATTCATTTTCGTCGATACCGTGGGCATTGCTGTAGTAGAGCTGCTAGTACCAGAAGTACTGTTTCCACTAGGACTGCTCAGCGAAGGGCAGTAGCACCGGTTCTCCGGCTCGTGATCAGGGTCGGCAAACGCTCGGTGGTCAGGGCCAAATCGGTACGCTTTAACTCCTCCCTTAGCTTCAACTTGCTTCTTAAACCTGTGAGTTTTGAATAGTTAGGAATAAACATCAAATGAAAATAAAATAGCTACAGATCGACTGTTTATTCGCTATGCGCGGTATGAACTTTGATACTCGACTAACTAACTCAATATCGCCAGCAATGGTAACACCGATAACAAATAACTTTAATCGCAATGACTAGAGCGCTTAACACTGTGCACGGGGACAATTACAATGATTCATTAATCTCTTACCGACCCGGATACATTTAAATTGTATTCATTGATACTAATGTCAGGCCTAATTTTTTTTGGAGGGTAAAAGGGGAATAATCTATCTAGTAAAATATATATTTTCAATATTATATAGTTAATTAATTTATAAATGTATGCATTATGTATAAGTACATCGTGATTTAATAAAGCCTACTATGAGTTTTATAAATCATAATGTGACAATAAATACTTGATAAACATTACAATATGGTATTTGTCTTCTATTAAAGAAACGTGTGTATTTACAAGCTATTATTAACTTAGAATCAAATGGAGTATTGGTATTTCAGAGCATCGAGGGTAATGTGGTGATATCAGTTTAAATTTACAATATTATGTATTGCAGGTATGGCGCACTTACACTAGGGGTAGTTTTCGGCACATATCCTTGTCGAAAACGTGTAGGATGGTGTCTGGTTGGATCCTTGGCGGGAAAAGGGAACCATCACTTCCACCAGACATACGGTTGCAGGAATCGGTGGTCCAGTGCGATAGGTGAGTACGCCCGTTGAACTTGTCCAGGGCGGCGAACAGCCGAATGTCTGTGGCTCCAGTGAACACGGTCATATTGTCACGTGAAGTTCCATTTTTCTGTTGTCAAAGTGAGGTGGCCGTAGGAGTCGGACGGGAAAACCCAGCGTGACATGCAAAGAAAAACAATACGTTTCGATTAGTACTTTGTAACTGTGTGACGCACAAACGAATCAAATTATAAATAACAATGCGGTGACGGCGGTGAGTGTGTATACAATATATATATTTCAAAACAGCAAACAAAACAAACTGACAAACGGTGAATAGTGCGCGGCGGTTGCGAAAAAAAAATAGTAAAACAAACAGTGCAGTGTGGACTGCAGTGAACAGGTGTCGGTGGTTAGGTGGGCGGCGTAAAACCAATGATGGACTGAAAACGACACGAGAGTGTCTGCAGGTTTGTGGTCAAATTTCCTGCTAGTGACACGGCTATGTCTGCGGTGTACGTGTTTTTGACAAAATGTTTTTGTTCTGACCGGCCGTCCCATCAGCGACATCCTGGTAATCTTGGCGGGGTGCACCTCTTGGTGCTCACGCGTTGGCTGCATGTTGTAGTCCTTAGCCACCGGCACCGTCTGGATAGCAGTCGGCCACTGGTTTCCACCAAGTATAATGTTGGTGCCGGCCGACAAGATTCCATCAAGCAGCGGACCGTCCGCAGACAGTAGTCGATCCAGACGCAGGTATCCCAACAATTCGGGCATCGTCTTCACGTCATACTTGTCAACAATGTACTGGAGCTATGCGATGTATACATGACTCAGTATAATGTACATATGATGTTCAACAATACAGTCTTCAAAGGCAGTGAGGTAATCATGGAAACAATTTATGCGCGAGTAAAATATACTTTTACAGTAGTGAGGTAAATTTACACGATTTTTTTTTTATTTGCTTTACATCACTACTCTACGCTGTATGCAATCGAATTAAGTTGCATTAAAGAAAGGTCAATATATGATATCTTGTTCAGACTGTGTCTACCGACACTCGCTGAAAATTAGTCTCTTCCTTTGTTCAATCACGTCTATTTTACTAACTCAATACTCATGCTACATAAAGACATATTAAATATTAACATTGCAGATATCTCATTTTTCAGTATAGGACAATCGTTTCTTAGCTTCTATTCCATAAAATATTTTACTCGGTGAGCACATGTATATTTAGTAGGTAATCATTACATATTTTTGTAAAATATGTTTCTAGGTAATAACTTCCAAGAAGAAATATCAGGATGGAAAATGCTTTCTAAAAAAAATTCTAAATTTAATAGGTATCTAATTACAGTTTTCCCTTTTTTCGATATTTTTGATATTTTAAACTCGATTTAAAAACAATGAGTATTTCACGGGGACATATATAGGCAATTTGGATGCAGTATTTCAAACTAAATGAAACATGAATATTTTTAATACACATTAAGTATTAAACAATTGCTTTTAACATAATTTGGATGTAGTCTCACGTGGATAGCACTGTATAGTATAATTTTTATACTGTTGTATGCCAAACAATGTAACCTAAGATTACAGTTTCAATTCATAAAAACAATATAAAATCGTTATAGGAAGAAAAACGAATGTTTTTATATTTTAAAACTAAGACTACAACGATTGTTGAAGATACCGACCCCATACAGCAGACCGAACTCTTCGTAAGGTAGCTTCTGTTCCTTAGGCACCACGTCTTTGGCCAGTTTTAACAACGGATCCTCATAACCCCACAGCAGCTGACCGACGCTCACCTCGACGAACGGTTTCACCTTAAGGATGTCCATGATGCTGGCCATGGCCAGTCTCAAGAACCGGGCCGCGTGTTTGCTCTGCGACGTGGCTGACTGTAAAACACGACGGTGACAATGGTCATTATAATATACTGTTTATGACACATTTAACTAATTTACAACATGATGCGAGACTTTGGTAAATCAGTTAAACTGAAGGTGGTACGATAAAACATAGGTATATAACTCACCAACATCGGGATATTGGGTACCACGACGATATCATCTTCGGAACCGACGCTCTGCTCAGGATCGAACCTGTATACCTTTTGCTGGTTGTACGTGAGCGTGCCGTTGTCGTGAAATGTCAGGTTGACTTTTTCCCACGTTTCCCTGTGGGGTCAGAAAGCGGTTGCTGGTTATTCGTTAGTGTGAAATTAAACAAAATCTTGAACAAATATACAAGTAATACCACTGCAAAAATTTAGCAGCGCGATCGGTACAGTACAATGGTTAATGGCTTTACCAGTATAATATATATTATTTTATATTATATTTTACTCACACGTAGACAAACGGACCCAACTCGTCCAAGATCGGCTTCTCGCGCACCTCACCGGGCGCGATCACATTCAAAAACTCGTCGGCGTTGGTGACATTGTACACATACACTTTTAACAAAGGTCGCACAGGTGGTTTGCGCCACATCTCGAACGTCTGAGAACCGGGCCGCAGCGTGATTTGCTGTGAACGACATGTGATAGATTTAAGTTAGTTAGTTAGTTAGGTATGTATTTTAAAAAGCTTTAATATGTAATAATAAGTCATAGTAGTGACTGCGGTGGGTAGCGTATAATGTATACACCTGAGGTGTTACATCTCTATACGAACTGTATAGATTGGATAACTTTATCATAGTATAATTAGTATAGGAATTCTAGGCTCCGGTTGTAGCTCATATAGTCGAGTTATTTTAGTAAATATTTATTTATAGAATTAACCTCTATAGTTTATCTATGACTCTGAGACTTCATAAATATTATTAAGTAATTATGTAATTGGCAAAAGTTTTCAATTACCTAGTCTTAATGTCCTAATAATCATAACGCATGATTCAAATTGTATATGATTTGAAGTGGAAATGTTTTTTAACTCTGAATCAATTTTAAAATAATCTAAATTATTATAGTTGTACAATGATGTAAATATTATAAAATAATAGCAAACAAATAACCAAAATGGGATTCATTAAATGTTAAATTATTGTTTATGCAACCTGGCTATAGAATATTAATGTCTAATCTTTAATATAACCGAGTGTATAAATTTGACTTAATCACTAAATTGGAGCACAAATTGAAGTTTCTACTGTATTATCGTACAAACAAATTATTATTATCAAAGTATAAGTTACTGAATAATTTTCTTCCCCTTTTCTATTTTTCGTCTATACGACGGACCTGCTATTTGGCGAAGAATGTACTGTCGGTGAAATATAATAATATATATTAATATTATTAAAATACTCACGTCATCGATAACCAACTCGACTGCTGCAGTGAAAAACGCCACCACTAGGAGGCCACCAACTAATAGGGCTACGGCTATGGCAAGTACGACCCCTAAAAAAGAAAATACAACTATGAATTAGTATTATAATATCTATTTTCTAAAGGGTAGCATATATTTTATCTATATAGTGAGAGTTAGGTAATTATATAATATGGCATCGATAGTCATTGTACAATACATAATAATATTCCTTTTGCCCCCGGTCCGGGTTTACATACATATTATTAATTATTATATAATAGATACATATATATTTTATAGGCATAAATTGCAAATAGCAAACGCCGAGAACGCGGAACTAAATCGGATTGTAACTGTCTAGATTATAGTTATAATAGTATAGTTAGAGTCGACATGAAGAAACAGGCCACGGAGTCGTCCTTGCTACGGTGCTCGATGTCACGAGCGCGGAAGCGGAAGTGGCGGCAAGCAAGTTACTTGCCTGCCACCCGTCCATATACGTATTATAGAGGGATTGTACATGGACGTACAACGACGTACATTGTTTATTATTCTGTATAAATGCGATGCATATGCTCTATGCCGGCACACAGCATTGAATCACCGTCGACGGAAATATGGATTTCCGATGATTTTCGATGGTAACCTTTTCCCACGATAATCGGCCGAGCCGAGTCACTTCCGTCGTCCCCGAATTATCACTATCGGGCGTATAAATACGTAGTCATCGTCATCCGAGTACTGACTGTTTAGGTTTGGCGGAAAAAGTCTATGTGAAAACCAAAATAATTATAGCATTATACGCAAGTTACAAGCAGCAGCGGCGACGCTTAATTTATAATAATATGTAATGGAATGAGCGATGATGATGAATCAACGGGTGTAATTATGGTGTTTTTTTTCAGAATAACATTATTATCATCATATTAAAGACGTTATAATAATAGCAACTTATTTCATCGCAATAACACAATAATTGTGTGTACCTACTTTAGGGCTGGGCTTTTAAATTCCTTCGAATCGGCCAAAGTCAAAAGTTACCTTTTTATTAATTTCGAAGCTATATTTTTTAATGATAGTATGATGAACGGGCACTTTGACTATTTAATATAAAAATGATAGGTAATATATTTGAATGTTTCAATACACTTAAAAAATATATTTATGCTCACTTTTCCCTTGTGTTATTAACTTTATTTTAGCATAAAAATAATCCTCTCGATCACCGAGAACATGGATATTATTTAACATTGACAATGTATTAACAAGTTTGATTTTTTTTACTAAAATGTCCTTACTATTGAGCCCTCGTAATAAGTTGGCTGCCTTGAGTATCATATTTGAGTTTTGGGTTTGGAGTAACATGGTAATTGGTGATAGCCGATGGGTGAGTATTATTTTTGATAACTACTCAAGGTGAATTTGAATTGTTAATTTAAATAATGGTAAGGCAGTCAACTTGTTGTATTTCTATGTTTTCTGATAGGATGTGACCTCTGAGGTTAAATATTTACTGACCTCAGATACCCTTATAGTGAGCAAAAGTTCTTAAAAAAAGACCCATTTTTTAAGAAAAAATAATCTATACTTATAAATATTATTGTGTACATCCTAGCTGCATCCTAAATGGTAAAAGGGGCTAATAAATGTGTCAGTTGGGATGATTTAATTGGAGGCCACTAAAGCAATTAAATCAAACTGTCAAAACATGTTTTTGTCGATGGTGACTTGTAATAGAACAGTGATTTATTTTATTTTTACATAGGTAATCTTTATTGATGTTTCACTAGCTACTTTTTTTATCACACTTAAAAATATGCAGATATTTTTTTTTATTTGCCATTGAAAATGGTGATAATAATTTTTTTTGCAAGCATAAATTAACGGAATATAACACGAACAAAAAATAACCTTAGACAAAAAAAATAGCTTAAATTCTCTTTTTTCATACAAATTGATGGAAAACCAACCGGTGAAATACTTAGAACATATTTTTTTAAAAAATTTCGTGATAACACCAAAACAAAAGTGAAATAGACCACTGTCTTGTAGATTTATATGAAATATATGTATCTAAATATAATAATATTAATATATTGTACTTCAAGTCGAAATTGCCTACGTAAAACCCCTTATGAATCGTTAAATGTTGTGCCCGTAATTAATATAATACCATGTTCGAGGTCGGTTTTGCTAACCGTGCATAGGCGATGCGTAGAGTTTGATTTTAGCTTGTAAAATTAGGAAAATTAGCAGTTCGTTAAAAATTGAACTCAATTTGGAAATGTATACGCGCATATATATAATACATTGTATACTTTATTATTATAACGAGCGTGAAGCGAACCACTTATTATACATTAAAACTGACCTACCGATAATGATATACTTATTATATTATGGAAATAGAAAAGTGTCTATCATATCGTTAGCCACGTCATCTGTACAGGTACGTACGCCATTCGTATTCGACGTAGGTAGGTACAAACCACACGTAGCTCAACCGTAAAAACAAATTACTCGCTGAGCCGCAAGCGCGAATAAGGAGTTATCTAGCCTGACTTGCTGACCAGTTTTTTTTTATTGGGACGGGGGAAATAGGAGGGCTCTTCCCTTCGATTCATTGAGAGATATCATCGATCGCATGACTATTTGCGCTTACGAGCATATGTGAAACAACGCGTCCACATTAGGCTCATATGCTGTAACAGCATACAATAATCTCAAGATAAAATTTGTCAGCTTAATATTATAATATTAATAAGCTACGAATTGGACATGTGGTATATACTTGTCCTCGAACCTGGTTGTATGCCTAATACGACTATATACACAACCGCCGTAGTCATCGCGCGTTTATACGTCCGTACGTATTCGTGCAAACCTGGCGTATAATTATTGATATTAATTTATGATGATGATAATATATGCGATATCTGCCGAGGACATCGCTGGCAACCGCGGTCACCGAGTATACCTATTACCAGTAGTATGTTATACCATTAGTTCGCTCGATGTCCTTCTCCGCAAAAACTAGTATATTAGTAGGATTACAGATTGTTATTATATTATTGTGAGTTCCAGAACGACCACGATGCCATTCCGGTTTTCTTTTTTCCCGTACCTCATAATATAGGTACATCATTATTCATTTTAATATAATGTCATTATATTATTATTATGTACCTAAACTGCAAGAAATAAGCTTTCCAATATAGTAGTTTTTTCTAATTGTTCGATTGATCACCTTCGACAAAAAAAAAACCTTTGAATTGCAAACACTGCTGAAAACAAACAAACATACCGATGATTTTCCGCCAATTTTTTTCGGTTAGGTTCCTATATACCGGCGTAAAAGGCCACACAATCGTCGCGTGACAGTCAGAGGTCGACGACGTTTTTTTATCATCTAATTTTTTTTCCACGTTTCGTTCCGCTGAGTATAGGAAGTGTGCAGCAATAAAAACAAAATCGGAAATATGGCAAAAAAATGTCACCCAACCTTCCGCTTTGCACACGGAATATTACGAAATACCTTCCATGTTATTATTATTATTATTATAAAGGAACAATGACTGTATACGCTACATACCTACAAGTTGCAGCAATAAAACAATTACACTCAATTATTATGTTATGTTATAGTATGTATTGTACACACGCTCGCTATAAGCGGACATTTCCGAACACGCGCTCGGTATCGTCGTAATATATTTATCATTACGTACGGCGATGAGATCGGAGTATTGTTTTGGTGTCATCAGCGCGCGGTGTCCGTGACCGATATGGGACGGCTCGGGCGAGTTGTGATGAAAACCCAAAAATATGCAATAGCGAAATGCCGCTAAGGCTCGACACATGACGTAATAACTATGTTACAGTATGATTACAACGCATCTCCTTTTAACGCCGGCCAACAACGACGTAAGTTGTCATCAAAATAAATAATATTTTCGTTATCTGCTGGCTTTTATTTCGTTCATCGATCGAATATCAATAGATCTATAAGTATATACTTATAGATATATATATATATATATATATATACTTATAGGCTTGAGAACAAAATAGTTCTGAGTAGTGACTTTTCAAAAAAATATTTTTTAACTTATTACTATACAACGTTATAATTTTTGAATCCTATAAATCTAGTTCTTTCAGATTTAGAGATTAAATATTTGATCTAACGAAGTCATTATATTTATTCTCTGATGATGAAAAGGTTGCATATTACAATGTGTTTCTACATTGTACGTCAGTAAAAACATTTGTAAGATATTATGTTATACACTACAGGCTGCAATATGTTATGATAAGAAATAATTAATTGATACATTTTTACATTCCTGCGTAATAACTATTGTTCATATAGATTCAGTTGAAAAATGTTCATTGAACTATAAGCTCACTTGAAAAAAAGGTTCTATACCACCATACCAGGTAATAATTATTAAATATTTGCTTGTTAATGAACTTTTAAATAATTATTATATCTTTAAATTCGATCAAAACTTAATAAAATTATATTTAGCATTCATTCTTAAAGTATCTAATCAAATTTTGTGATGAATCAAAAAAGTATAAGTACCAAATAATATGAATTTTTAAGCTTTAAAATGTGTATCCTACACAATTTCCAAACCGACCTATAGAACCTTTTCATTCTTAGATCACGTAAGTAGCGTCTGGCATAGATGGTACATTGGTACGTGATAAATAATAATGAATTCAGCCACCACACTTTTTAAAATACAAGGAGAATGGCGTTGTGTGTAATTACTAACTACTAATTAACGGCATATAGTTAATAAAAGTTACTTATAATAATAAACTTACAGTAGTTAAGACTTATTAATGATTGGGTACTACAATGATTAGTAGGTGCCTGCTGTAGACAAAAAGAACTTGGAAAAATATCAAAAACAGACATCGTAGTTGAATGACAGATAATTGAAAGGTATCGTATAGCTCTAAAGTGTTCTACACCAATTACAATTATTACATTTTATTGGCCATGGTGTGTGTACTTATATTCGTTAGAAAAACACAATATATATTTAATATAAACAAATATTTGACATGTTGTATG